TGGAAAGACCTTGTGTCATATCAGATACCAAGTCTAGACTTAGTCATACATTATCACAGCTGAACTTCTGACTTGAAAAATAAAGCATTTTAAAAAAAATATAAAAAAAATCATGAAACTTGCAGTGTAAAAAGAAGTTACTGTTCTAAAACCTGAAGTAATATATTTTTAAAACATGGGATGAATCTACATTTGAGGTCAAATTTTGAAGCAAATTACTGAGCCTGAAATGACCAAAGATATTTAATATCTGTATTCATGGAATGGAATCACGTAAGTAACAAGGAGACACATTTTTGCTTAAGGCCATATTACAGTGCTATTCAAAAGGTGCACTGCACCCTTATTTTGTGCCAGTAAGAGAATTATTATTTTTGCATGATGACATTCAGTTTTTAATACAGAGGAAAAGATTCATCTCAATGTCAAAACGTAGTCATGTCAAATCTTTTCTGGAACAAAGTTCATAACTTGAAAGCTCAAAGGACAAATAAGCATATTTTCTGAAATTCATTTCTCTACAGACATAAGATATTCTAATACTAAGCAAGATTTTAACACTGAACTTATTAATAATAAGGCAAGATGATTAGCACATTTAAAGTCTAGTTTGAGTTACATGGGCCGTATGTTTAAATTCCTGTACAAAAGCCAGCAGCTACACACTAAGACTTCTCCAAACTAATTATGGTTTGCTATCAGTGTTGAGCAGAAGAGGTAGAAACAGTGGCAGCACCCTTAAGCTAAAACACCAGAAACAGCATTTGACTTCTCAGGATATATTTACATAGTATTTTGAAGCAACTCCTCGCTATACCTTGATCTGGAACTGCCATTAACTACTACAGTAGGAATACTTCTTAAGACAGACTGCTGTTTTTCTAATCTTGTCAAGTACACTTAATGGGACATTCTGAACACACATTTTGAGATAAAGCAGCTAGAACACAAGTTTGCCTTCATGTCTTTTGCAGCTGCAAAGGGAAGAATTGGTTGGTAAAGGCAAAAGTACACTAAGAAGCTGTAAAATACTCCTGTAAATAAATTGCAAGTTGATCTTTTGTGTATTATACACAGAATCACAGAAACATCAAGGTTGGAGGAGACCTCTAAGGCCATCAAGTCCAACCATTAACCTGACACTCTGCTGTAACCCCCAAACCATATCCTCCAGTGCCAGACCCAGAAACCTCTTAAAACACTTCTAGGGATGGTGACTCCACCATCCCTCTGGGCAAGTTATACACTCTATACATTTTTCATAATTACCTATCTATATAAAAGTAATTAAATGTGTGCCAGATTATATATGCATATAACTAAAAAATAATAGAAAACTAAGATATCGTGCAAATAGTTCAGCATAAAAGTATTATTTGCAGACCAGTTTCAGTTCCCTGTGGGAATAAGGTGATGCAGCTAATCCATTTAGGAGGCTCTCAAACAGTAACCTCAAGGGAAGTTTTAGTTGTGTTTTTTCTAGTATCTTACTTGAAGCTAACCTCAAGGTTTACTTGGCACTTTTTATTTCAATGAAGAGATAAAATGCCTAGCCAGAGTCTATGGGGGGAGGAACCAAGCAGGGACTAGAGAGAAATTATTTTACATTTCCTTGATCAGAGATACAATCGTGCTATAGAAGAAGGCACCTATGATTGATTATTCTGTTTATTAGGACTGCAAGCAGGCTAGATAAAAGGGAAATTAATTTGCGCATGCATCAGTTGAACTAAGCTTATTTAAACTGATTTAGTTGACAATAAAAACAATTCATGTTTCAGACATTTGGGATGTTTGCTAAATCACAATGTAGCTCACAGAGCAACCAAGAAAAAAGTGTTAACCATCTCAGATACAACAAAACTTACATACCCACTTTGTTTTATTACAACGCAGACACTGTTTTGGGGCATGCCTTCCCTGTTCATGTAAAAATTGTTCCTCTAACTTGAGCAATTAAACGTGTAAAAAAACTGAAGACATTTCTGTGGTCCACTCCCAGGCACAAAGAATCCACTAAAAATAATTACTGACTTTGTAAAATCTTAATGCTTTTCTCTACTTTTGGGTTTCCTCTGCCTGGTTCAGGTAAGTGATCATTACAGAAGTGCCCAAGTAGATTTGCACTGCTGCCCCTAACAACTCTCCAAAATCCAATAAGGAGTTTCTATAATATTTCATGCCAGAAAGTTATATGACATTTTCCTAGAGCTTCTTTCTTTGAAACCTAACATCTTCTCCCTGTATTGTCCCTAGACTGGTTAGAGACATTCTCCTCCAGAGAGGAAAGTCTCAGTGTTACTATGAGATGGAAAAGTGCTAAAGCATGTACCGTTTACATTACAAAATTTCTGGCTAGCAAAGGCCAGCTGCATGTTTCAGTAGGAAAATGTGAAAGAAATCCTGGACATCTGCCTGATCTTCAGTGTGTCAGAAAGCAAAAAGACTGATGATCAGTTATTGGCTATGTGTCTGGTGAAGAGTTGAGAGGTTCTGGCTTTCGGAACAGCAATTCGTGTGAATGGTGAAAAGGAGCCCTGTTTAGGGAATAAATATCATCTCACTGACAAGTAGCTACTTTTGGGATAAGGACAACCTAGGGCAGACAAAAAGCTTCTCATATCTGGGAGGTGTTAGAGCAACAGATGCAAGACAAACTCGACCCTACACATGGACATCTAGAGGAGAGGCTGAGAGGCTGTAAAGTCTTGTTTAGGAGATGCTTTGTATAGTTCTCACTAAATTGTTGGGGAGATCTCCACCAAGTGAAACATTAAAATCAGTATTTCTAACCTTTCAGGAAAAGAGAACCAGACCAAAAGAAACAGCAGTTGGTACTCTGTATTACTGGTGCCATTATTTCTCAAAATTAAGCCAACGTGCCAAGGTCTTGAAATCATATAGATAAGATGCTGGTAGATCCCAGGATATACTGTTTGCAATATGAGATAAAGCAAACCACCAAACCATATCAGAGAACTGGATGATCTGCTGAAGTCTGCACTTGTAAAACATGAAAAGAACTATGAAGGACATCCATCTGAGAGATGTAAGCTAGGAATACCATGTGGTCAGTAGTAACACATCAGGCACTCCCAAATTTTATTCCTACAATACTCCTTTAACTATCAAAAGGATAATGACACTCTGGGCCTGTGCATTCAATATGCCAACTTCATTGGCCCAGTAAACTAGAGAAAAATTTTGCATTTGGGAGAAAGTACAGGGATGAAAATGTGGAAGGACTCTCCCTACCCCACTGCCACCATGGACCAAATGTCACAATTTGCTGCAAAAAGGAATACAAACATGCTATGCAAAAAAAAACCCCAACCGACATATACTTTCTTTTCTGTAGTAAGAAAAAAATCATTCTGCAGATAAGGAGGCCATTGGTAACCAAAACAAATGCTAAAATACAACTTTAAATTAGCACACCCTAATAATTGGTGCTAAGAGTCTTAAAAGTGTTTGCGAGGGTATCATTTCTATGATGCTAATCTTCAATACATTTTGGACCACCAGAGACATTCAGTAAGACTGCTAGCATTTGCTGCCAGTTCTTCAGGATGGTAAGTGGCATGATCTCAGTAATTACAGAGCTCTCAGTAATTATTCATCTCAGGCACAATAAGCAGCAAACTAATAAAGGGCAAATTCACTGGGAAAATACATGAATAAAACTGATAGCAGTCAACACCATTTTATGGAAACTTGCTAAGTAAAAGAGAGCATTTGAGTTTGATTTAATCATCTGATAAAGTTACAAACTACTTCAAACAGAAGTTACTCCATAAATGAAACAAACAGACTTTTGAACAGAATTTACCTTACAGAAATTATTATCAGTATCATCAAATGTGATCAAGATACAGATATAAAAGAGTAGCTGTTAACAGGAAATCGTAATTGAAGAAGTGCTCTACATTACCCCAATAAAATCATCCAGTACTCGCTCAATGTTATCAAAGAACATCATCAAAGACACAAAACTAAATACTGTTGATAGGACTTAGGGCCCCAAAAATGTCAAACTGGTTGACAAAGGTAGCAGAGTGGTTATTCAGAGTAACACGGATTGCTTTGTATGATGGGGACAGTATATCTCAGCCAAGTGGACTTACGTAGCAAGGAAGAAAGAAACAATGCAGGCAACACTCAGGAAACAGTGCACAGAAACCAAGGAATTGTAAAATACATACAATCTTCATGGCACAGAAACAATTCAATACAAATGGCAATGAAACATCGCAAGGAAAGGAGTAATAAAACCCACACACTTTAAGTGATAAGACCAGAGATCCTCCTTTCGTTCACAGCATTAGCGGTACTGGAATAGTGAATGCAACTCTATAGTCCTTGTATTGTTTTCCAAAAGATGCCAAGGATCTTCTTTTTCTTAATGTTTTCACCCAAAAAAAAAAGGTAGAATTCTGTACTTTCTTAAATTGTTAACCAGAATGCCCCACATGCTCTACTGGCACAGCGAGGGATTTAGAAGCTCATGTGAAAAGAGCACAGCAGCAATTTGAAAAGGCTGCAGAGTACAATGAATGTCACATGAACACAGAAAGTCTCTGATGCATTGCAGGAGAATAAGAGAGCTCAGGCCTAACGTTAGACATTGGGCAGTGCTAACAGTGCAGGTACAATGGCAAGACAGATCTTACTGCTGATGTGTTTTGGGTTTCCTACCTGTGGTTTCCTACCACAGCAATTACTTAACACTTAAAGAATTGTACAGTACTTCTTTGTTTAGCTTCTTCAACCTGTAGCTTAAAAACAACCCTGAATAAATGTAGACATTTTGTCAAATGCCTCTATATGAGATAGATGGACTGCCACAGCCTTAGGTGACAGCACTGGGGGAAGTACACCACCATGTACATGCTCAGGAACTAACCACCTGGGTGGCTTCACCAGGGAGAACCTGAAAGGCAGTTGGGTGGGAAATGGCACATTGCAGGTAAGCTCTTATTTGGTGATTCCTTTTGCCTTACCTGGTCGTGAGACCCTCGAGCTGCTGAATGCTGCTCCTCGCAGGCTGCTGTCCAGAGTCTGGGGGTTTGAGTTACCATGGAGATCACTGCATCTGACAGCTGAGAGGGCTGCAATGAGAGACAGAGGTACGGTCAAGCCAGTGTCCATCAGCTCATCAAAACACAAGTGTTCAGCTTCTTTTGATCTGGCATTCACCAAGGCACTAGGCTCCCAAGTTAGAAGCTTTGGCAGAACCCTAAGGGGGAAAGACCCAATGCCCATCACAGAAAGCACTGGTGAGGGCAAGCCCCAGTGACACACAGCATTTGAGCACTTTGCAAAGCCATGCACTTTCTCAGGAACTTGGAAGAATCCTAACACACCCTGAGCTTGGCTCAACAGGTTTCAGCCTCTTTGGTCAAATATAACAACCACAAAAAATTCACCCAGAACCACTGCTGAGCACAGGCTCGAAATGCCAGTGTGCTGCCTCAGAACAGGGGGACACACACACAGAAGTGCTCCCTCAGACAGCTGCCAGTGGGAACTGATTGTGCATCTCTTCTGTGCCTGAAGTAGTAAGTAGGCAAAAGAAATCACCTTCTTAAATGTTTTGAGGAAAAGTCTAAAGGCAAACATTTATGAAAATCAAACACAAAAGACAACCTGGCATTCTTATGCCATAATAAACCTATTTGCAGAGTTTTCTGAGCATAATGAGTAAAAAGCCTCATTTCTTATTTCCTCTGCCATTTGACCACTACGTATCTCAACTAGTTTCCTACTTCTCCATTTCAACTGTAAGTCTTATGCTCAGTTTTTGTCTATATAATCTAATAATTAAATGCTGTAAAGTGAAATGAGATATTCACTAGCGACTTTTAAAATTAATTATCCTCCTCCACACAACCGTCTTGCATCTTTTTAAACTATTGTCCTGATTTTGTCTGGGATAGAGTTAATTTTCTTCCTAGTAAGTGTTACAGTGCTGTGTTTCAGATTCAGTATGAGCATAATATTAATAACACACTGATGTTTTGGTTGCTGCTGAGCAGTCCTTACCCTAGGTCAAGGACTTTTCAGTTTCCTATGCTCTGCCAGTGAGCAGGTGCACAAGAAGCAAAGAGGCAGCACGGCCAGGATAGATGACCTGAACAGGCCAAAGGGATATTCCATACATATAATGTCATGCTCAGCACATAAACCAGGGGGAGTTGGCTGGGAGGGGCTGATTGCTGCTTGGGGATGGGTTGGGCACAGGTCAGCAGGTGGTGAGCAATTGTATTGTACATCACTAGTCCTTTTTGGGTTTTATTGCTCTCTCTCATTTTGTCATCTCCCTTTTAATCATTATTATCTTTATTATAATTATAATTAGCATTATGTTTTACTTTATTTCACTTACTAAACTCTTCTTAACACATAGGTTTTATCTTTTTCCAATTCTACTCCCCATCCCACTGGGGTGACTAGGAGACATGAGCAAGTAGCTGTGTGGTACTCAGTTACCAGCTGGAGTTAAACCACAACAACTATACATTAAGTATCATTTTATGATACAATCAATTTAATAAATAACACATTTAAACATGTCATCAGGGGAAGCTTTCATAAATCCAGTTCTAATTCTCAGTCTGCAGTACCACAACATGTTCTCATTTACTTCACTGTGAGACAAATACACCACCTAACCAAATCTAAGTCTTCACTCCAGAAAGAGTTTCATCTTTTCTAATTGGAGGTGAATGACTATATGAGGGGCAAAAAATGCCTATTCAAGCATCACAAGGTATTAACAAGACATCAGCTAGAAGTCCATAGCTCTTCTGAGTTAGTCTACTGAATGCATATGAACCTTCATCGATGAGGCTACCGATATAAATACCTATGTAACTACCACATGGCATTCTGAGATGACTGTTCTCATCTCTCTGTACAATCTTTTCTTTTGAATTATAGAATCATGAAATGGTTTGGGTTTGAAGAGACCTTAAAGATCATCTAGTTCCAACCCCCCTGCCATGGGCAGGGACACCTCCCATTACACTAGGTTGCTCAAAGCTTCATCCAAACAGGCCTTGAACACTGCCAGGGTTGGGGCATCCACAACTTGTCTCCTATCTCATTTTTCTGTGGAGCATATTGTGTTTATGCAAAATCTAATATACTCAAGAAGCATAACTGTGTATAAATAAAAAAATCTGAAAATCCAAGCAGTAATTAGAGGATTTTTCTGTTACAACTTCTCCATGTCTTATGGGAAAACTGTTAAGAGTATTATTATATTAAAATTATCTCTATTCAACAGTCTGACATTATGCTATGCAAAAGTAACTAACACATACTAAGGCTGCTTTCATATCAAATACCAGGAAAGTAACTAGTCATCTGTGCTGAAAGCTTCTGCAAGATTCATGGAGTTTAGAGGACACTGCAGAATCCCAGATACTCGTACTGTAGCACTGTAGATAGAAGCATGGTTATTGAAGAAATTCTATTCATGCTTTCTGTTGTAATTACACTCATAAATTGGTTGGGCCATATTTTCATTTGTTCTGTTTACAAATCTTACAAAGTGGATCACTGGTGGTTTTTACCAGTGACAGGTTCACTTAAATGCTATTCATCTTCCCACACTGCTCCAGAGCAGACAGAAGGCAGCAGTGCAGGCAGTGCTGGTAACACAGGCTGGAAGAGCTAATCAAATCCTGTAAGACCAGCTCTGGTTACCTTGCCAGACAATTTTCTGGTTAAAAAAAAATAAAAATCATACTAGCCCTCTACTGAAAAAGCTAGAAGGAAGGGGAAACACACATTGGAGGTGAAAAGATATGATTTCTTTATGACTATTTTATTACCTACAAGCGTCAGTGACACTTAAAAGTTAAATAAATTTCCCTTATGACTGGATGAGAGCATGCATGATGCAATAACTGGTTGTGCTGCCAGAAGCCCCTACCCATAAGTTTTTACTCAACAACAAAAGAGTTTCTTCAAATCTGACTTCATACAGAAATAAGTACTAATGTGAGCTTTGGAATAAACAGTACGTAAAGGCAGAAAATGCTCTTTTAAATTTAGATTGGTAATATTAGCATTACAACCTATCACTACTTACAATAGGATAAGGCCTTCACACTTAGAAAGAAATTTAAAAAAAGACCCCACACCAGAGATCACAGAAGAGAGCTGCAAAACTGATTAGAACACCAGACAAAACACTTTAATATTACATATCTGGAGAGTTTAACTTGTATAGTTTATTACCAAAATGAAAGAAAAAAAAAAAGATGACCTAATTACAGCATCCAAGTACTTTCATGGGGATAATACACTAAGTACAAACTGGCTTGTTAATCTAGTAAAGAAGTGTATGCATAAAACAAATCAGCATCTGGAAGCTGACACCAAATTCAAATGAGAAATAAAGCACATGCTTTTCATTACCTGCAACTAACCATTAGCAGAGCTATTCAAAGGAGAATGAAGAGATTCTCCATTTATTGATAGCTTTAATAGCACTTTTCTAGCTGAATTTTTGTGAAAATGCAAGATATCCTCCAGTCACATATAAGTTACTGTGTTTCATACAGACAGACAAAGTTCTCCATACAGAGAAAGAGAGATGAGGAGATGTAGTCACTCTTTC